CCCCACGCGGAGGTGCCGCTCCTCGGCCTGCAGGCAAATCTGCCGCAGCACCGCGGCCAGGGCCGCCGCGTCCGTCTCGGATGTCGTGTCCGTTTGCCTTTTTGTGTCAATTTGCGATGTCGTGTCCGTTTGCCCTTTGGTGCCCGTTTCGGCTTTGGCCTCAAAGCGGGGTCGTGAAGGGGCCATGCCGTCCTCGCGGGATCCCGCAAGCCACGAGAGGCTCCCTGGCACCCCCCTCGCCTGCGAGGGGTCCACGTCGACGACGAATTGGTAATAATGCACATCCCCGCTCGGCGAGCCGTCGGCGTGGGGGAGGGTGTATTTTCGAATCAACAGCGCCAACTCGGGCGGTGGGAGCATCACCTTCTGCGTCGCCAACGCGCGCGCGAAACGCGGGGCCGTGCAGATGCGATGCTCCGCAATCGACTTCCGCACCCGATCCATATCCCGCAACACCGGCGTGAGGAAAATGCGATTCGTCGAGACCTGGCGACGGACCTTCTCGAGGATCCGATCCGCCTCCTGACTTTCCTGCGGGCTGCTCAAAAAAGTGTTCGAGGCGTGGGTTTGGTGGAAGTAGTTGATCGGGGCGCCATTTTCTAAGATGGTTGGGTTCGAACGCGCGGAGAGCGGGGGGCTGTGGTCGGAGGGGAAGTTTCGGGGATTCGTATCGTGAAGAAATCGGATGTAGCAAACCCGACGGTATGGGGATCCCGCCGCGGGATTCCTCCCGTCCGATTTCGTCTCCTCTTCCGCCTCCGCGGCGTACGCGTGAATCAGCGTTTCGATGTTCTCCGGCGCGAGGCTGAACTTCACAAAGTCCAACCGCCCGAGCGCGCTCTCGAACTGCGGCGCCGTGACCACGCCGGTTTTGAAGGGATCGAAATCGGCGAAGTGATCCTCCCCGCGAAGCCGATAAAGCGCGAATTGCGCGCGAATAATCCCCACCAACTCGTCCGCGGAAAGATGGGGATTGCGGACGCCGGACGGGGCGGCGAGGTCAGCCTCCAACGGGGCCGTCGAGGTCGTCCCCGGCCCTTCCTTCCCCCCCCTTCCACCGCACGGCACCATGCGAGGTACCGCACCTTCCCATTCCCATCCCCGTAGGCGCGAAGCAGCAAATCGAGCATCGTCCGCGGCTTCCCAGAAGGGATTTCCCACCCGTTCGCGGCGTTCCCCTTCCCATCCTTTCCGCTTCCATCCCCTCTTTCCGTTTCGTTTCCAGCCGCCGTGGGGGGTGCATTCCCTCCTCTTTTCGAGGCGGTGGAAAAGGGTGCGAGGAGGAGCCCGAGGTGTTGCGGGAAGACGTTCTCCACACACCGAGTGAATTGCGAGGTCGTCACTTTTCCACTACGAAGCGGATCCATCCCGGTGAAGGCCTTCACGAGATGCAACCCACGCGATCGCGCGACCTCCCGCAGGCGATGCAGCACCGCGTTCAGCTGCGCGGCCTCCTCGGTGGCCTCCGGAAAGGGGAGGGGGGCGGGGGGGTCCGTTTCGCCCGTCCACGGCGCGCCGCGCGGGATCCCCGCCGCGGATTTCGCCCTCGCGAGGCATCCTTTTAACGAGCGGAGAAAGGCCTCGTAATTCACGTAAACCGGCACGCCCGCGGACGAAGAGGCGGAGGGGGGAAGCGGCGAGGAATCGCGCGAGGGGGGGCGCCCGGCGGCAGCCCCCACCCGCCCACTCGTCGGCGCCGCCCATCCGAATTGCCGAATCAACGCCTCCCGCTCCTCCGGGGTGAGGGCGATGCGGTGGAGGGTGAGAACGCGCGTGAACTGCTCCGGCGTGATCCCGCGCGAACGCAGGCGATCAAAATCGGCGAAGTCGTCGTGCAATTCGAGCCGACGCGCGACGACCTCCGCGCCGATTTTCTCCACCACCGCGAGCGACTCCGGCGTCAGGTCTGCCAATACATCATCCACCGCCATCTGAGGGAACTCCCAGGGGGGAAAAACAAACGGTCGCGATTCGAGGCTAAGTAAGCGATAGGCAATAGAACGAAAAAAAAAAGAAAAAAAACTTTGGAGGACCCGTTATTGGTGGAACAAAGGAAGAAGGTAAGAAAAGAGAAGGCACAAGAGATGCGTGGGATGTAGAGGGGGGGGGGAAGACAAAACCCTTCACCATTTTTTAGTGGAAAAGGAGGTAAAATGGGTGTGGGATGGGGATACCCTCACAGAGTACATTTTTGGGTTTGGTTTTTACTCCTAATAAATACATATATATATATATATATATATATTCGCGTGTAAAGTACACACGCGCGCTCGGCACCCCCTTCTATCCCTGGCAGCTGTGGTAGGGTCACCTAGGTGGTTTCATCGATTATAAAATGCACTAAACATGCATTGAGCAAAGGAGCAAATCAAACTGAATCGCCAAAATGCAAGGAAAAAAATCGGTATAACAGAAATTCAAAGGTTCGGATGCCCAATCACATTTCCTTTTTGTTCGGAATCAGAACCATTCCAACGGCTATAAAAAGGCTCATCTCATCAAACATGGCAAAGCCTACGTGCTTTTTTTTCTTAGCGAGGTGGTGGCAGAGCAATCCCTAAAAGCCCCACGATTTCTCGTGGAAAGATCGCCAGCGTCAGGATCGTTGCCGTGACGATGCCGTTGCGAAACATCACGTACGTCCCCCACCGCGTACTCTTCGACGTAACAAATAAACTCAACGATACGACCCCGATCGCGGGCATCCCCCAGCTCTTCTCCCGCATCGTTCGACTCCAAATCTGCATCTGCGAAGACGCCAGTGCGTTGGCGGAGCCCGTGTACGACTTTCCCGCCGAAATCCGGCCGTCGATATCCAAAACCTCTCGGATCCTCCGCACGATTCGCGATGCGCGAGTGCGGACCTGTGAAACACCCTGTTTCACGTACGGCCACTCACCCGACCATACCACGAAATGCGGCGTCGCGCCGCCGTTGGGATATGGGCTTCTCCCAGGGCCCCCCTCCTCATCAGAGCTCATGTTGAATCGACAATCAGACCGTGCGGAGAAGAAACTAGAAACAAAATGAAATCAAGTGAAATGGAATAGAATGAAGGGACAGAGGAAAGAAGAGGAGAGAGGGGGAGGGTCGCTTACTTCGTGTGATCCGGCTTGATTGGTTGGTATCCTTCGTTTTTTTTTTCGCTCAGTACTGGTGGCTGCAAAGTGAAAAACTATGCTACTGAGGAAGGGGTGGCACTCTTGAATATTTCAGTGGAGAAAAAAAACAAGAAATGAAGAAAAGGAACTCTGTGTGGGGGGAGGGGAGGGGGGGGAACTCCCTTATTTCATCATCACCATTATTACCATGATTATTGCTCACCGCTTCTTATTGGAACTTTTCAAGAGGAGAAAGCAACTTAAAAACAATCCCTCTCCCTTTTTGTAACTCCTACAAATGAGTATTTCCTCAGGAAGGTCCTTTTTTCCCCAGTCCTCCGCGTCGCTATTCGCCCTCGCGTGTGGCGTCTTCGGGATTGATGTGGTACCCCGAAAAAGCCCTTTCTCTCTCACGACGCATCTCTTCCTGCTCGTGTAGGGATGTCGTCAGCATATTCAGATACTCTTGCCGCTTGCGATCGTCCTTGGAGAGCTCATACAGTTGATACTCCTCGGCGTCGCCAAACTTGGTGATCGCGCGCCAATAGGTATTCCACATATGATTTAATCCACAACGCAAGCAGCGGCGATACCACGCCATGCACTGCGGCTCCTGCGTCCGCGCTTCCTTCTCCCGGCTTTCTTCAAGGCACTGAAGCATATCGTTACGCTGGGATACGCAATGGGGCTCGAGTAACGCATTTTGCAGAATAGCCTCTTGATTTTGACGGGAACGCAGGCATGAAACGTACGCGTTGTGGGTCGCGCGGCAGAACCTTTCGTTAACTTTGCTTTTCGTGTTGATCTCGATGCTACCGGTGCCGTCATCCCGCTTGATCAGGTGTTGTTCCTGCAGACAGGTTGTGTATCGATCGAGCTCCTTATGGCAAACATAGCTGTTGAGGTTCTGCCGAAGCATAAATTGATTGAATTCCTCCTCAACAGCCGGATCCGGGTCCGCCCCACGGTTCGCTATCTCGGCATCTTGTTCTTTTTTCCACTCCGCAAACAAGTTTAGGGAGTGCTGAGATTCCCTACCGTGCATAAACTGATTATTCATCCCTCAGGCATGCACGTGGACGATATGGAGAGAAAGGGAGAGGTGAAGTTATTACGATTGGGGCTGCTGCCTGGACCTTCGTTCGTGCCGTCCTTCCTTTCACAGTTGATACCACGTTGTTAAACTATCTGCTTGCCGCAATCGAATGAAGTATAGATAGCAGAACCTATGCACATTTACACCTAAAGTTTTTTGCTAGTATACCATAAAATGGTATTTATCTGCAACAAGAGTGTGTTCTCATATAGAAAATGGTATCGAGAATGTGTATGAAAAGGAAATCAATATGTATGTCTGTGAAAGAGGGAGAAAGGTTCAGACTTCACCCGTTGAAGCAAGTGAACTCACGAGTAGCGTATATAATACGACAAAAGGGGAAAACACCTATGGGTGCGTTCGATATGTTATTTTCTTTTTTTTTTAATAGTGCCATTTTAAACCATAAATAAGAAAAAAAGAGGCTAAATTACGTAAGAGGAATAAATATCGACGCTCTTGAGGGGTGAAAGTCGAAATTCAACGAACAGTAGAATGATCGTAGTGTATTCGTTCCTTTTGCGTAATTTACCCTTTGGTGTGAGTCTCCTATCCGATCAAATCATTTGGCGCTGCTTTGCCAGCTCCTTTCCTCTTCTACTTCCATAATTTTTGACCCTTGTCGTTCATTAATCACCCAATAAAGAACAACAAAAGCAAAGAAAGGAAGTTGATGACGTAGAGAAGCGCTACAGACACACAAAGCGTCACTATCAGAACTATCCTCAAACCTTGTTGGTTGCGGTAGGAAGGTGGTGCATGCTCCTCGATGGATATGCCTGGAAACCTATAAAATAGACTCAAGCAAACACCAAGAGGGCAAAGGTAAGGGACGCGGAGATGGTGGAGAAATGTTGGGAAGGCGAAAAAAGCCTCAAATCCAAATTGAGCATTCTACTCCTCTTTTTTTCTAAATAAAAAAAGAACGCAGAGGGCGAGGAGGGGTGCGATTCAGGCAAATTATGGAGACCTGATCGCCTCGTATTCACGCCGGCTAGAAGTTATAAGCAAAGGTTTGCATGAAGAAAAAGTGGGCGAAATTCATCGAAAACCACGGATTTTTCATTTATCAAGTTTTGTTTACATTACTTACGAGC